CCCTAAATGAGTAAGCACAACAAGAAGGCGTTAAATCAAGCCAGAGAAAAGACCGTCAAAGTCACCGAGACTGACAGCAGAGAGAGAGGAGTTTCAGCCTGTAACTTAGAGATGTTACAGAAGTTTCAAGAAGCACAAGAAGACGCTGAAGGACACATCAAAGAAACAACTGAAATTCAGAGAAAGGGTATAGTGATGCCAAGAAAATAAAATGGAGAAAGCAGTAAGAGGAGAGAGTAATGATGCTCAAACTCCTCTCGGGAGATGTCGCTTGGGTTTCGCCCATATTGAGGAAGAAAGCAAATCACAAATGGCTCAGGATGGAACTGGAAAGGAAAAAGCAACCTCCACGCATTCTGCAAACCTCAATTAGAGTTGCAAACAAGTTAGTTTGAATACTGGGGAAGAACTCAAAGCGCACACAGAATCATAGAATTGTCCAGGTTGGAAGGGACCTTTAAGATCATCTAGTTCAACCATCAACTTAACTCTGATTAAAAAAAAACAAACATAACTAAATCATGGCACTAAGTACTACATCAACCCATCTTTCAAATACCTCCAGGGATGCAAACATCACTAAACCATGTCACTACACACTACGTCAACCCGTCTTTCGAATACCTCCAAGGATTGTGCCTCAACCACACCACAGACCAAACTGCCCCAGTGAGAAGCAGCTGGGGCATCAGCTTGTTGGTCTTCTGTTCTAGAGGTGAAGTGATGGTGGGATGATAACGGAGAAAAAATGTCATGTTAAAAGCGTGATTTTTAAGTAAAAAGTGACTGAAGCATGCCCTTTTCCCCCAGAGAGGGGTAGAATTCAAAGGAAGGTAGGAGATCAAAGAAAAAGGTTGGGAGAAAAAATAAGAATTAACTTGAGAGAAAGGGAATACCTGAAATAAGCAGGTTAGAAAAGTAAGAATTGACTTGAGAGAGGGGGAATACCTGAAATAAGCAGGTTAGAAAAGGCAAGATGAGGGGAGAAACATCCCCAACTGCAGCAAGAGAGAGGCCTGGGCAGAGGCAGGCTGGGTTTTGTTACCATGCCCTTGGGATTTGGACACCAAAAGCACCCTAAGGCTTACGTGATGTTTACAGCAAGGAAGCTTTAACGTTAAGGTTCCAGGGGAGGATGGAGGCCACCAGGGTGAGGACAGGCAGCAGTGCCCTGTGCCAGCCCCGTACCCGCTTCCATCCCACTTATCTGATTTCCTGGACCATTTTTTCTCAACTGCACGTTATGCAAATCCTTTACTCAAAACAGAAGGAGCTACCAGCAAATAAAAACAGCTGTTATATAGCCTTCTTCCACTCCCTTTGACCAAAAAAAAAAAAATATCTAGAATTTACATGGAAAAGTCAAAAAACTTCAGAAGTCTGCTGAATAACCTAAAAAAATTCAGAGCGCGGTTCATTCACTCCGTTCCCCCCAAAACTTAAAACATTTGAGGGTAATTCCGTAGAAAAAGATGAAGGTTTCAGATTTGTTCATATTGCAATACGTGCGTTTTCTTTCCCATTTTAGGTCCTATTTCTGCCTTTAGGTCACTCTGCCTCTGACAGCCCCTCTGTCCACCCCGGCGAATCTACCCGCAAAACAGGCTTTTGCAGAAACAACCTCAAACTGAAAGACATCGCAGCTTTCCCAGCTCTTGGCAGGGCTCTTCGGAACGAAAGGAGGAAACGCAGAAGGGAAGGAAAAGCAGATGACAAGAGGATGGAAAAAGGGTTGTTTTGTTTTGGTTTTTTTTTTTAACAAAACAAAAAACCACGCTGAGGTTCTTCCTTAGGCAGCCAGGTCTCATTGGCGTTTTCTATAAACTGAAAGACATCGCAGCTTTCCCAGCTCTTGGCAGGGCTCTTCGGAACGAAAGGAGGAAACGCAGAAGGGAAGGAAAAGCAGATGACAAGAGGATGGAAAAAGGGTTGTTTTGTTTTGGTTTTTTTTTTTAACAAAACAAAAAACCACGCTGAGGTTCTTCCTTAGGCAGCCAGGTCTCATTGGCGTTTTCTATCCTCTTTCTTCCCAAACTGCGATATTTCACGATTTTAGCACAAAAAACCAGTTCTGAGGATGCTCCACGTAAACTCAGCAATAATCAGCCCCACGGCCAATAAACTCTTCGCCCTCGTAGTTTATTTGCTGCTAAGCCTTGGCCTGCAGCCTTGGAATTCATTCTGCCTGCACTACAGCTATTTCCTCGTAAACAGGAAGCCCCCTCAAATTTGCATTACAGTAAACTCATTTACTCCGTTTAGTGTCAAGTCTTTATCTGGGGAAGATAAAACGGTGTGCCCACAGGTGTGCCAGGCTGCGGCCAAGAGACAAATTCTAATAGAAGAGGGTAAAACCTTTGTAATATTTCTCCAGGAAATAACACCAGCAGCGCAGGAGGCCGTGGTTGCCCGCTGGAGATAAAGCGGGACCGAGCACATTCCTGCGGGAAGAGCGCTGCAATGAGGCTGGGATATTTATTTTCGAGCATGGATGTGATATTCCAGTGACCTTCCTCCTGTCTATGCCAGGGACAGCCAGACCCGAGGAGGGCAGCTCACAGCCCAGCCTTACAGAGCTGAGCTTGGGCTCTCTCACACGGAGAAATAAAAAAAAATAAAAATAAAATTAAAAAAAATTACTAGGACAAATTGTTTGATTTCAAAATCGAGGAAGAGAGGACTCTGTGTGTTGTATTATTTTTTTTTTCCTCACTGTTACTATATCAACCTGCATTTAAGCAGCCAATTTATGTAATTTTAAATGAATCACTTCGCCAGCGACACAGAATATTTAAGTATACCCAACACACCGTGTCTGTTCTAATGAGAGGGCTCGAGAAGAAAAAAAAAAAACCAACCACCAGAAACCAGCATGAAGACATCTGACACCAGAATAACGGTCACAATTTCCTAGTGTATGAGGAAATCCCTGGTTTCAGTTAGAAGCTGAGAAGTTCAGTCATTTCAAGCGACCTAGAGCCGTTTGTGGTCCCAGGCTTAGGTAAGTCTCTGTTCTCATTTATGTCCATGCTTCCTCTCATTCATCTGCTGAGCTGTCTTCCACGTCCCACAGCGCCCTGGCATCGCTTACAGCTGCAAACCTCTGCCTCCCCGAAGGCTTCTCACCTTCTTCAGAGCACGACACTCCAAGGGAAGGGGCCGGCGAACCAGCTTTTTCCTTTAATATTTCACTCCATCTGCAAACAGGTTCTTCCACATGCAGCTCGGGGAGCGCACCTAACCCTTCACCTCTCCTCCTCCTCTGTGGAACTTCCTCCTGGCTGCTGTTTCCCACCCTGTGGAGCCCAACGCCGGGGGGTACACCACCTTTCTGAGCCAAAAGTGGCCACCAAGCAAATCCTGGAGCAGGAGAGCAGAACGGTGCAGGTTCTTCGGGCCTCGTGCCGCGCTGCGAAGCTTCCACCACGCTTTGAACGAGGGGACATCGGTCCAGGCAGCAGCTTCCCAGCCTCCCCACAGCTGGTATCTCTCATGGTGAGGGTGATGGTATTTCTCGTGGAGAAGGTGCCTGTACCTCTGCTGGCATTGGAAGGACTCCTCCCCTACACCCCCTCCCCATCCCCACCTTCCACCTCCCCAGAGGACTCATGTCCCTCTTGCAAACAGGGAGCACCACAGCACATCCCCCAGACTAAAGACACCAACAGAAAAAAAAGCCAAAGCACATAGAGGTACCAGCCCTCCCAGTAAAGCACTGTACCTCCAGTTAACACCAGAGCCTAAATTTTACAGATAATGATTATTTTCACAAGCATTTACATATAGCAGGAGAAAAACAGGCACCTTCCTCCACCCAGCAAACCATCCTCAACCAGACCTTAAAAACCACGGCCAAACTTCTCCATCTGAGGTGTCCCTGCCTCTGCCAGGGGGATGCAAGGCAGGCTGGGCACCCCCCTGTGCCCTCTACCTTCCCCCCACTCTGCAGCCTCACTGCGCTACCCGCAATTCAAGCATAAAAGCAGTAAAACCAAAAAAAACCCCGAGTGAAGAAGTGAGAAGAAGGCTTGGGTGCTCTCTCCTTGCCGGCAGCCAGCCAGGCCAGGCCACCAACAGGCTTGCAAGCTGCCGACACGTTTTGCAGTAAATTTGGGGTTAGATTTATTATTTTATTCTTTTTCCCCCCCCCACCCCATTGCAATATTTTGTTTGCTGGCTAAATCGTGGTTCGAAATCCATCCCTCTAAAGAGAGGCCAAGCTTACTTTGAATTTCAGCAATAAACAACCAAGCGACGCTCAGGTGATTTTATAACGCTTGAATAACCAGGGACTGGCGTTCAGAATCTGAAAAAGCTGCTTTTTCCCCACCGAACCCCCCCTCCCCAAAAGAAAAGGAGCTCGGCTGGAGCCAGGCACCCATCGGCTCGCCCGGCGGGACCCGTGGCAGCCCATGGCCAGCGAGGTGGCCACTGGAGCGAGCCCTGCACTGGTCCATGGCTGTCCAAGCACCTCTGCTCCCTGAGCTGCTTGCCAAGAGAAAAAAATCCACTCTCTCCCCAGCCCGTCCTCCCTCCCCGCACCAGTGTCAAACCTCAGCTACCATCACTCAAAAAAAAAAAAAAAAAAAAAAAAAGAATAAAACAGTGAGAATGACCCGGTTGGGCTTTCCCGTTTTATTGGGCTCGCCACTTCAAGAATTTCTCAGCCGCTGGATGAAGCATCAAGTTTAGGATGAAATAAACACCCCAACC